TGGAGTAGCAATATGAGATTAGCGTTTTTTTTTTACATACAATTAAGTACTACTCACTCAAAGATCTTAGTACTATGAACTTCACTTATTATTTGATAATACATAATATATGTAAAGAAAGTAGAAATTAAAACTTTTTGACATATATTATATACTTCTGTAATTATTTATTGATCAATGAATGACTTTCTACAACAGAATTTAATCAGTCATGTTCATCATAAGATAATTTGATATTGATCTATTGGTATATAAGTAAATTTGAATATTGTATGTTTTATTTAATTTACTATCATCAACTTTTGCTGTTCATTTTTTTGCTAAATGACTAATCACTTCAAGACATTCTATGTAAGTAAAGTGTTTTGTAATGGGTAATATTAATAATGGTTTAAATTTCATCATTTATAGTCAGATAATTAGTGACTTTATCACTGGGCTAGTCTTTTCTATAGGAATATTTAACAATTTATCATATATAAAAGATGGGAATGCTGAAACCTTGTTCATTTGAGCGTTTTGATTCAGTCGCTGGAACTATGAACTCAGTAATTACGACACACGATCAAGGGAAAATCAAAAGTTTCTATATTGTCTTGTTGCCCAAATTACGGATTGTTTAAATGGAGCTTTGGAAAATAACTAAACTAATTAAGTTCGTCTGAAAGCGAAACTGTTAGTAAAAACATTATAGTAGCAATTCGGGGGATGATAAATACCGTATTCTTTGAAATACTTTGAAACGGTTGAGATGTTAAGTGCATGTAGTTCCAGTTTATCTAGGCAAAAAATCTTAAAGAAAAATAAATTACATAAACCTGTGGTGGACTAGAGAAATTTTCATCACATGTAAAGCATACATTTAACAAAAAGTATAATTTTTAATTATCATTAATACCTACAATTTCCCACTTCTAATAATAATAATATCGCATTAATGACTAACAACTGATGGTCACTTAACGTGCTCTTCCGTTCAACAATTCAATCACATTATATGGAAGTGAATCACTGACCATCAGTTATTTCGTGTGAAGATATCTATAGGGTGTGATATTTTAACCTCAGTCTTTTCAATGAATTTAAAAGTTTGTCTTATGGATCTCATTGTAAGTGTCTTTTCCATTTATTTATGTCACGTTCATTGCATATTTTCCCTCATAATCGTTGGATAATTGTTTTCTCAGTATATTGACGAACTAGTGTGAGGTGTGGCATCCAAGAACATATACAGATTTATGTCAAGTCATTTCTTGTTTATAACTAGAAAAAAAAAAAAAAACTTGTTGACATATGACTATGGTGATCTAAATCTCAAAGCTCGTTTTTTACAATCATCAATTATCTGTTCAAGAGAAAACTGAATCGATAACTGTAGTTTATTTTTAAAACTTAGTTATCAACTTATTTTATCTGTATATCGTAAATGGTCTACTAATAACGTGCAGTTATTCTCATCCTTAACATGAACTTGGTGAAGTTCAAAAACAATTTCATTCCTAGAGGGAGATCAAAGAAGACCCGATTTGCTCAGTGGTAACTCTCCAAACTGTGAAACTAGGGGATAGGGGTTCGAATGTCACAGAGATTATCAATCCCTTCTAGATTGTAGTTGTCGACTATTTGTCGATCGACTACTTCCGACCTTGAGATAATATTCTTCCTGCATAACTATAAATTTTATGACAGTTATTTAAAGTTGCAGTTGAGCGTTAACTAAAAATTTTCTAACCATCTCCTTACTACTGCCCATTTCTATTTGATTTTTCGGTATTGATCATGTTTGAAAACTAAATGTTTGATAAATATTGTTCGCATGACTTTTAGATCATTTAGTTGGTCTTCGTCTTAGACTTCAAATTTTTAGAAATTTCCCATACAGAAAAGTATTTTAATTGAATTTAATTTCAAATCATAATCGAATTATGAAGTAGATCAGTTGTCAACATGCTGACTTCTATGGTATGAACTATTCATATTTTTCAAGATTGTTAGGCTGACATCCGATTTGTTCATTTGATGTCAAGCGTCGATTCAGTGATTTGATGATTCATATTAACAATCACAATTATGATAGTACGTTCAATTTTTTTAGAGAGATGAGCGTATTTTTCTTTCTCTTTATCATACAAAATATGTAATAGTGAATGATCCTCAAGTAGATATACATTATATTCGACTACTTGACGAAACATTTAATTTCAGACAAAGTTAATATAATTAAAGTTTCAAAACATGTTGTAAACTTATTCGATCATTCTGATTTAATGATTGATATTGCACCCTACTGATGGCGATGATGACTAACCAACTAAAGATGGAAACAGTTGTTTTTTCTTCTCAAATTTAGGATTACTGGTAAAATCATATTTAAATAGCATAAACATTTTAAATAAATTCAGTAAGTGTAAATAGTATGTTGAAAAATAAAATGTATGTTACTTACAATTGTTTTAACTTAATTACAAATGGTATAAGTTGATTATACGCATTATACTGTTAGTAGAAATGGTGTAGCATAAGGGATTTGTTAAATTACATTGAACATATTTAAGTCTATTTAGTTAGCATCATAAGTTTTTCAAAGAATCATGAGGTTTTGTTTGTGTATTTCATGTTGAGCTAAGCGAAAGATTTATGTAATGCAGTGTAAAATATTTTACTCATTCTAGTTTGTATAGTTATATAACTAGTTCTGTACATTAGACTTATAAAATGTATTTACTACGCGCTGTTAATTAATCACAGTTTTCATACATTGAACGGTGTAGATAACGTTTTGTCCCTCTACGTTGTAATACTTTCCTAGATATGATATCTGAAATGTGAAATCGTATTTACTACTGGTAAAACCACATTGGAATGTTAAACCTATACGAGTGTTGAAGGTTGTTGTTTAGTTGGTGTCGATTTAGCCGCTTTAATAAATTTCCATAAATTTATGTATATATTTGAGTTTGTCTTTTTTTTATCGTGAATATTGTACATTGAAATGTATACACCATTGGATTGCAACTCATTGACTGAATAGTTTGGATTTTCACATTAAAACCCGTAAGTTCAGCAGAGTTCAACGTTGTGTAAACGTGTGCACAGAAAGTGAACACTGTTGAGGATTCCAAAACATGTATGCAGTAATTGTTAAGTACTTCATAGTTGTTGTTTTATTTTAAGTCTTGATAAAATCCCTAATATTAACCAAGTTATATTAGAATGTTTTGTTGAGTGCCTTCGTTTATTGAAAGTCTTAGTAGACAGTTTTTGTTCTTTGTTTAACTTTAATAAAACGATTTCTATTAAACTGATAATAACATACATGAAAAAGCAGCCTAAAAATGTATTATATTACAAACCATGGAAGCGAAATACTCATTGATAGTCTTCACATGTAAACTGGTAATTTGAAAGATTTTTACCAAAATATATCTGTTGGACATATTGTTCACACTGAATTGAGTTCATCTTAAGGTCATTTGATTCGAAAAGTACAGTCATGTGACCTACCCTAGAAGAATCAATATCTTCAAAAGCATGTGATCAAGGTTGAAGAATACAATAAAACAATACTCCTTTTATTTTGTGATTATCGCCTTTTAGGCTTAATTACGACTTATTTATCAGGTATTATTTTTGCTTGTTGTTTGGATCTAAGCTAAGTGTAAATGAAACTCATCATGTTAACTGTACAACTAAATACGTACGAAAATCGAATTGAAATATATTATAAACTGGTTTAGATATATTACCAAGTTGTTATTTGATTATATATAATTGATAGAATAATGTTAGTTTCACATAACTCATTTACTAATTACAGGTTTATATTACTTAGCTCTTAACTACACTCTTTGTCGCGAAAGGAAGAAGTATCATCCGACTTTTTAAACTGAATGAAGTAGGTACAGCGGGTCAGTGAATCATGAGATACGTAAAAAACTAGGCATAGTACACCAACCACTGTGTAATAACTGTATTCACTGTGCTTACATGTTTTACCTTATCATCTACTTTTTTAGATATCTATAAATAATAAAAACAAATATTTAGAATAAGTGATTGTTCTCCGAAGGTTTGTGATAGTGTTTCAATAGTTTCATCCAAACTAAAATCATATAGATTCTTTGGTAGGATACATTATTTTATCACATTCATGTTCTATTGTATACAGTTTTCTGACTGTTGTTTGCAAAGATCAATATGTGGGTAATTGTGATCTTCATACAACTTTACTGGTGTGCTGTCACTGGTATGAGGGTGGTTGTCAGTTCCTGGCTGCCCACACTGTGGAAGGTTGTTTCTTGAGGGACCTGAAAAGGAAGATAGATTAGTGTTGGTCTTGGAGACCTGGGAGCGTGACCGCAGAGTCCAAGAGACAACTGCTTCAGACCGGTCACGCACGGCCTTTTTATGAAGGGTTTTTTGAGGATTAGCTCCACTCTTGAAAGCCCTTAGTGGGCACCCTTACCAACGGAGACGGAAATCCGTGAGGTAAGGTGAGGTGTGACATTTGTAGGGTCGACCATTTCTAACTCCTTCCTTCCTTGTGAGAAGGCAGCATCGCTGCAGATTCTGGTTATCCGAGGGAAACACCTTACTGCTGTCACACCCCTCTGCAGTCAGCAGTACGACTTCGCCCTCAGACCTTGAGTAGCTGCTTCTAGTCTCATCGTTCTCCAATCGACCTGCCTGGCGTTGCAGAACCTACAGGAACGTATGTTTCAGCCGATATAGCTCGGTTGGGTCATCAGGATAGGCAAGCCCGACCACCACGTCAAGGTAGCAGCTACGGTCGGGTCATACAACTTTAACCATGAAAATGAAATTCATGAATATTATCGAGCTATCGATTTATGTTTCTTGTAGTTCATTTTGACATAAGGGTATAAACTAAGCTAAGTATTCAAAAAAGAAAAAGATTTCAGTTACTTGTGTTTCTTCCTTTTTTTCACTTTCTTCATTCTTCTCTCCAACTGTTGTTTTTTCTTCTGTTCCAAAAATAGGCTCAAAAATGTAGGCGTTCAAGTTCGTCAGTGTTAGAACCATTGGAAGATATGGTTACATGTCCAATTGATTTAAATTTTTTAGATGATCCCAAATTATTACCATGTGGTCATGCATTCTGTTGTAAATGTTTAAATAAATATATGGAAAAATTGTCAACTTCAAATAATGCTAGAAGTACCAGTACTACTGCTACTTCAAATACTACTAATAATCGTAATAGTAATAATAATAATAATAATAATAATAACACGAATAATACCAATAATCGTCGTAATCAAAAAAATGATAAATCCAATGAAAAAACATTTCCTTGTCCAATATGCCGTGCATTATGTCCAATTCCAGTTACACGTAATGCTGATTCATTTCCCAGTGCTTTTAATCATAAAGCAATTTTAGAATTTTTAAAAAATAATCATATTAATAGTTTCATATCACGTATGGATAGTAACAATGCTACTACTACCAATAATAATAATAATAATAATAATAATAATAACAACAATGGAACAGTTGAACAAACTGATATCTCTAGTAAAAGTCCATTGCCTACTCGTAAAACATCATTACAAGTTAGTTCAAGAATGTTAAATTATATAGTAGATGATATTGCAGCAAGACAACGTGAAGGACGAATGAATGCAATTGATCGTGCAGTAATTATTGATGAATTCAAAGAGATTTTAGTTAATCTTCAAGCATTTGATGATAAATTACCATTAAATAATAATAATAAACAATATCCAGTAAATGTAAATAATACAACTAGTTCATTAGATAAAAATACTAGTCATGATATTAATAGTAATAATAATAATAGTAATGGTTGTACTACATTACCTTGTACAATTAACAATCAAAATACTACTACTACTACTACTACTACTAATACTACTATTACTACTAATCCACGTTCTGGTACACCATCAACTCTTTCACCAACTAATTCAATCCGTCAATTTGGTAGATTTCATGCTGCAGCATCACGTATACGTAGATTTACAGCAAGTTCAATATCATCCAATGATTTATTACCAATGGAACCACCATCCTCTTATCAATCATATCGTGATGCAGAAAGTTTACGTATAATGATGGAACGTAATTCAAAATTTCATGTACTTACAAAAGGTAAAGATTGTTGTATTATGCGACCAGGTGAAATATATCAACCGATTGATATGAAATTAATCATAAATCATCAAGATAATCATTGTAATATACATCGTTATACATTGACAACAAATTTAAAATGTGATGAATTATTACTATGGAAACAGCAATTACATTTTAATAATGGATTTTTTAATCTTATACAAACTAATCATAAATATGGATTATTAAATCAAATTAGTAGTCAAATTATTGTTGATAATTCAAATCCAATAAAAATTTTATATTTACGTTTTCATAATTCAATTATTTATTTGACTGGAATTATTACACCGAATACATCGACTGCATCAACCATGGAAGAATTTGATTCTTCTACAGAAAAATCTGAATTTGGTATATTAGTCTGTTGTACTATATCAGATAAAGAACATTTCGATAATGATAAACATACTCATAATAAAACTAATTTGATCAATGGCAGTAATAATCATAATAATCACGAAATCAATTCTGAATCAAATCAAAATTCATCATCTTCATCAACAAATAATCCATTTCCAATTATAGCTACATCAAGTTTATTTTATCGTGATACAGTTGGTTTAGAAAGACCAAATCAACCAATTATTTTTGGCATAGATATTGATCATACCAATGGTGATATTTATATTGCACAACCAGCGAATGCAATGATATGTCGGTTAAAATCAAATGATTTAACTAGAATTGATCGTACTTGGTATTTAAATGATCCACAATTATCACCATATTTTTTATGTTTAGCTAAAAATGAACAAAATGTCTGGGCAACATGTCCAACAGAAGATAAAGTCTTGATACTCGATATTGATATTGATGGATATTTTCATTTTACACCAAGTGTTTCATTTAATATTATACCAGGGCATATAATTTACACATCAGATAATCGTATTATATTATTAGATCAATCTAATTATGATTTATATTGGATAACACGAATTGATAAAGCAATTTGTGTTCAACGTTTATATTATAATATTGGTAGTCATCAAGATAAGAAATTTCAAATTATGGCTATTCAACCAGTGTACAGTGATGAAACTAGTCATAGTTATGATGTATCTGATCGTCATCATCAACAACAACAACAACAACAAACTAATCATTCTAACACAAACAATAATCATTCTCATGAGAATGGTAATAGTAAATTGAAATTATTTTCAAAACATTCCTTTCCTACAGTTACATCATCATCATCATCATCACAGTCAGTTGAAAAACTACGTGGTGGTATTATGTGTGCGCATAATTACGGTTGCACAGTGATTTATCCACAAAAATTATTTTCACGTAATAAATCTGCTAAAATATCATCATGTTTAAATTTATGCGGTAGAATATAAAACAGAAGAAGAAGGGATTTTCATGATTTCATAAACTAACTAGTCAGGGTATGTATAATCAATCAATCAAGAAACAAGATAGATGGCTGTGGATGGAATTTAGCATTCAATGAAAATATATTGTTGTGAATGCTTTTTAAAATTGAAAAAGAATCTTCTACAAATTGTTGCATTTATTTATGTTTTGTACAAATATTAAAAAAAATCTCATAAAAGAAGTCTGGTTTACTTCTGTGAATTCATGATAATCATCTTTATAGCTTATGCCCGTGTGTCTCGTCACATAAACTCATTGCACACACGCACACACCTATGTTTTAACAGTGATTCACTTGAACACACTGAATACAGCATATACACTTTTATCACTGTAATGCCTTTCCTTCCTTTGACATTTTTGGCAAAAAGAAGAAAAAAAAATGTGATTACGTTTTGGTATTGTGTTAGCTGAGATTTTGACTTGTTTTTGTTTCGTTTTTTAAAAAATAAATCACATGACATTATCATCTTGTATATTTATTTCACAATTATTGTCCATTTTCTTTTTCGCTTCATTCATTTGTTCATTGCTTATTATTTTAAATTTTAGCTTAAAAAAACAGTTTTACACAATTTACACAATCAAATCAATTTTACATAATCACTCTGAATGAGATGCATACTATAACATGTTGAAATTCATTTTACCAATTACCAAAATGTTACAATGTAAAACAACACCACCAACAATAAAAATGAAATCTTACTTTGAAGATATGGTTGGTGTTTTGTCATTTGAATGAATTACTAAGATCTAAAAGTGAATATTTTAGCTAAGAATATTGGCTGACATGTTGGAAGATGTAATAATATCATAGGATTTATAATTAATTTCAATTACTTTCAGTTATAACAAATGTTAACGGTATTATTTCAAATGCGAAGTATTGTGCAAAAGTCATCAGCCCCTATCCGATAGTTATTATTATAGACCAACGTATGAGAGCTTCATGATTGATATGAATTCAAAATTGTAAGAAAAGTTTATGGCTGTGGATTGTAAAACTTGTTTATGGTTAAGTAGGTGGGTTAACCATAAATTATTTGTCCGCTCATTTGTTGATACGCCTTTTGTAGGTTCGTTATTTTTGTGGTTTTTTAAACTGAGGGGGTTGACTTTTGTTAATGCTAAATTTATCTCATTTAATACAAGTTTGTTAGCCTAAATTATTGATTATTCATTGCAGAATAATATATTAGTTCCATTCATTTATAAATATTCTGGAAGGCTTAGACGGTTGTTTAACTTTAAACAACGTCGTGTCAGTTATTCTGACTGATATGATGTGGATTGACTTCAGTTAGAGAACTATTGACAAACAGGGATGGTCTGACAAGTGTTTCGTCTTAGTATAAGACTCATGGGAATGTATAGACACAAAATCACCACACCGAAGATTGAATACATCTTAAAATTATTGGATATTGTTCAATTTCATATTGAGAACTTTAGACAATATTTATTTGAAAACAGTAACCTTAATATTATGAACGGCGATTGGAGAAGTATGAGATAACTTGAAGATTTTTTATTACATGCTGGGATGAATAATAGAACCGCTTAAAACCAGGTTATCATTCTCTAGTGTGTGAGGATAATGATGTCCTTCAACACATCAACATACAGGGATGGATGAAGAATATTCTAGTTCCTCAGTGAACATATCCTGACTGTAACTACAAAATTGACGTGGTGTTCTAGTTGGCTGGCCTATCTAATGCTCGCGATTTCGTCACCTCAAATAGATTCACTTCAGATCTATAAGCATTAATTTTGAGGTTCGAAAACAGAAGGGATGTGAATTGTTTTTACGGATAATCAGCATTTTCAGCGGCGAAGCCTACCATCTCACCTAAGCAGAAAGTGAAGTTGAGGAACGCACGCCCTGAAATTAATCTAGCCTAAATAACTTGTGTCGTCGAAATTAACATTTAAGGCGTGTAGTAAATAAGAAAGCTGTGTCACAACTAGTCTTTCAGCTTTTGACTTAGCTATCAATACTAACAGTTTTTCTTGAAGAATATCAAATCGCAACCTGAACAGCCAAATTTAGTGCCTTAACAGAATTGAAGTATGTCTTGTTCACTAGCAACTCATTTTTCGTTGTATTTGAATTTTAAGGCTATGCCTATGCATAAATTCTGTTTAGTCACAATGTTGAAAAAAATGTCTGATAGTTTCCTTTTTTTTATAAAAAAGCAACAACACATAAATAGTTGATCTTTTATGTTAATTATTTTACACAAACAAAAGTGAATAGAAATACTATAATCCTATTGAGAAGAAGTAAAACAACGGTACAAAATTTAAATAACTGCAGAAATATTTTATACTGTGTGAAACATAATATCAAACTCATCTGGAATTTGTTTATGAGATCATAATAAAACAGTTAAGAAAACCAAAAAAAGTAATTGAAGAACATAGTAAAACAATGGTATTCATATTAACAAAAAAAAAATAGGACCGGGTCTCATAGGTCACTAATATTATCATCAAACACAAAATGAAAAGAATGTTTCCAGAAAAGGATGAGGTATTTTCAAATATTAATAATAATAATAATAACAGTAATCCAAAGATGAATAGTTGAGTATACTTGGGAAGCACGCACAAGATAAAAAAAAGGTTAAATTAACAAAAACTTAAAACCGATTTAACAACATCTACCATTATTGAACAAAATTGTAAAAAATATAACAATATTTTATTCAAAAAAGTCTTTTTTAAAAAAAAACAATTTGCAAACACACTACATTATATCAATGGATTGAATGAGAGATTTGGTACAGCAGAAAAATGCAGCAACCATATTTGATATATTTTCAATATTACGAATTCGTAACAAGATTGTTGCAAGTCTTATTTGTCGACACTTGATGTTCGATTTAAAATTTCTTTTAAAAAAACAAATGAAAACATGTTGATAATCACAGTTTTGTTTGCTGTTTACTTTTGAAAGTAGATCATTTGTAAGTTGATATGAAGTAGGTTTGTTGCATAGAATATAACAATGATGACGATGAGTGGATTTTATTCTGTATGATGATATAATCAATTCACTTGTGTTCTTCTTTCATTTAAAATAATCACAAAAAGAACTAAATGGATTCTCTCTCTCTCTCCTACGCACATACACACAAAAAGGTGAATAATGACAACAGTAAAACTTGTGTTTCAATTAGACAACCAAACAATGAATCATAAGTTATATGAAAACAGTCTAAGACAACTATGGTGCTGAATTAAACAACCTACTAAGTCTGATTTCTTTTATGCTTTTAACATAACTGCATTATTACAATTATCATCATTACTTGTGATATTATTAGTATTATTTTTGTGATAATCATTGTTATTATTTTGATTACCATTAAGCATTTCATTCATTTTAACAACAGGAGAATGTTCTTGAAGAAGATTTTGTGTTTCAGCAAGCCTACAATAAAAACATTAGAAAAGAAATATACATATAAATCCATAGTTTAGTAAATAGGTTTTTGTGAAGAGATTATTTGAATTTGTTACAGACTGATGTCAGTGAAATATTTTATCGAATAATAGTCAGTCAGTTACAACGCAGAACTTCGTACGTAAGTACATCAGTTCAAGCTGCTATAACACACAGCAAAAAGACGCAATTATCACTTCAGATCCCATAGTCGTACAGACAGCAGAAGTATGAGCGATAATGCAGGATTCGAAGATATTATTTAAGAAGTATAATTCAGAGACAAAACTTTAGAAAGACAAAGATATAGGTGATTAGGAATTCAGAAGAAGACGATTTGAGAGAATATAAAGAGTGGATGCACCTGCGCCATTGCAAGCGATTTCGAGCCACGTTATTCAAGGTCTCTAACCTTCGATTACTGGCATCTCGGGGACCCCAACCAGGTAGTCTACAGTTACCAACGTGACTCAATCCACTTGTCAATCAATTCATGGATTTGTGACATGCTTCAGTTTGACCAACTCTAGCTTCCCTCCAACCTACCCCTACATCACAAAACGTTGCTCATTGAGGCAGTCGGTGGTTGAGCATTTGTAACACATGTCCCAAACACTTCAATTGATGGAGTTTCAATATTTCATCAACTGATTTGCCATCCTTACCTAGTAATCGTTTCCAAGCCCGATTGTCCCAGGATATACGAACAATTCTTCGAAGACATCACTAATCGAATACTAATAACCTGCGAATGTCCTCTACTGTTATCGGCCATGTTCCGCATCCATATGGTAAGATAGAGCGAACTGCTGCGCAGTGCACTCCTCCTTTAGTCAGCAAACGAATATCTCGCCTTCGCCATAAGTGATGAAGGTTGGCAAAAACCAGTCGAGCTTTCTGTATCCGAGCTGAGATTTCGTCAGTCACTAGGCCACCAGCACTGATGAGACTTCCCAGATAAGTGAAGCGGTCTACACGCTCAACTGCTTCACTTCCTATCACTAGTTCAGGTGCCGATGCAACCCAATCCTGAAGAAATATTTTGCATTTCGAGGGGGAAAACCGCATCTCGAACATGCTTGCATTGTTGTTCAGGGCAGTCAGAAGACTGCATTTTGTCAGCGTCTTCATCAAGTAGTATTATGTCATCAGCATATTCTAGGTCAACGTGTCTCCTGGTAGAAGGTCCATTGCTGAAAAGACAGACAAGGATAATGTTAACTCTAAAAGCATAACTACGACAAAGCTAAACAGGAATGGAGAGAGTTTACAACCCTGACGGACGATACTTGAAGTAAATAATTCCGATGACAGTTCGCCATAAGCTCTCACTCGACCTGTAGTGTTCGAGTAGAGAGTTTGTATAAGGTTAATGTACTTATTTGGTACACCGTTTAATGACAGACACAGAACCTCACGATCAACAGAGTCAGATGCCACCTCCTAAATGTGTGTCTTTGTTCCAGAACTTGTCGTAGTGTGAAAGTGTGTTCTATACAGTTACGTACAGGTCTGAAACCAGACTGGTTTCCCCAAGTCTGCTCTTTACGAGCTCCAGTTAAGCGTCGCAGTATTACTGAGCCCAATATTTTCGATACTATATTAGTTAGACTGATTCCCCTGTGATTGTCACAAGAGGACTTTTGTCCTATCTTGTAGACTGGGACAATCAGTGATTGAGACCAGTCAGTCGGATAATAAGATTATTATGAAATATGAACTGTTAACTTTATGTGTAGTTTTGAGAGTACTGAACTGTGAAACATCACATTTTGTACGTTTGAATGTACAGTTGACAGTTTTTAAGTTTATAACTTGACTTACTTCCCAAGTATTGATTTATCTACTCAGCTTTCAGTAATAGTTTACGTGAGGGAGCCAGTGATACTACTCTGCTATCCATATCCAAGTAGGTGGAGAGTTAGTTACTCAAGCTTGCAATCTAGAGTCTGAATATCGAAAACGCTCTCTGCACCAAACCATTACATTCTTAGTCATTGCTTAGAAAAGTACTAAACAAAGCTAACCGAGATCATCTTACGACATATTTGCATAAATTATCAAATAAAAAAAAGAATAAAACAAAGTAATTATTGAAGAAAGAAAATTTAAATGACTTGCATATTGGTAATACGTTCCACTTGAGCACGGTATGAAGCCTCAGCATTCTGATTGGTTGAAACTTTTGGTTGAACAGATTTACAGGATAAATTTAATGTTAATGAAGGTATCGTCATTTTATGTTGATAAGAATTCTCGACTGGATTAGATTTAGCATATTTCACATAATAATCAGAGGATGATTTGGAACGAAATGGTGATACGGAATTTTTAATACTGAATGGAGATGAAATTTCAGATTGTAGATCTAAATCGACTGATGAGCAAGTGTTGGGATCAAATAATTTAGACGATCGATGATTGATAGTTTTCAAAGATCCAGAATTTTTAGAATGAATTGAGTCTAAAATTTCATGCTTGAATACAATGGAAGATTAAAAATGAAAAGTTTAAAGATTCTTTCATATTGAAAATTGCATAAATTGATCATTGATCTTGATAATTATTTACTCTGTTACAGTGAATCATGTTTGTGCCAAACAACTAACGAACACTTAACGTCCAAAAAGCAAAACTTACTTAGAAATTTAACTATAATTTAGTTGGAATATTGTTCAAATATTCAGAAGTTTCTAAACAAAGAAACAACTATTACATCAGTGAGGCACACACATTTTAAAGTATAATGTGCATTTAATGAAACAAATGAATAAGGTCTTTAATATATTTCAAATGCAACCCGTGAATTATAAGATTATTTCTGTTGGTTGAAATTCTGTTAACATTTAAATTAAGCCCAACAACTAACAGTACTAGTTGACTTATTTATTAGTCAGATACATACCACGGTAATTGACTGTGAGCAGTACTACAGCTGTAAAGACTAGCGACACTATCTGATAGCCAAAACAGAGTTCGGCAAAATGGAGTTTGAACCTGTGACATTCGAAGTTAGAGGTTGAATGCTTGACCGTTGGAGATTCTACAACTCTTTAGTATATTTAGTACATGTAGTTCAGTAAAATATATTATCGTTATATACATGAACATTTCAGTATCCAAATGTTCTTTGTTAATCAATAGGAAACGTTATAAAACTCCTTGTTGTCTGAATTGATGTTATTTATTAGCAAACAAACCGACGACTCCGTATTGAAGATTCAGTCCGAAAGCGGTGATGTTAGACAGTTGCCTAATTACCGTATGCCACGTCGATATTCTAGAAATCCTATTGGGCTGTCATTATGTGAGATCTCTTCGGTTTCTTAGGTTTCTGGAGGCTTCCTGGAACCGTGTCAACACATATATTATGGTCGTTTCTGTCATTTTACAGCTGTCTCTGGATTACACTAAAAGGTTGTCATTCATGCATCTAAAGCGTTGGCTCAGTAACGAAGATATGATGCGAAAACATGAAGCTTGTTTCTTAAAATATTGCCTGCCGTACATCTTTTTACGCACCTAATTTTTACGATTGGTTCAAACTCATTGTTTCAGTTTTACTGAGTGTTGAATTCAACATTTGTTTCTAGTTAGGCTACATTGTGGAGAAACTCCAAAACACACAGAGGAACATTATACTAAGAAAATTAGTCAACGTAGATACACTTATTCTTACTGAATGACATAAATTATAAAAGAGTAATATATACATATATCGAATTTATAAATAAATACACTAACTTGATTTAATAAATCATGAAGATTTTCAGTGAATTTATATGAATCATGAAAAGTATTCGGTACATGTTTAATCAATAGATAATCATCATTGATAGGAATTTTTGTGTCCCGATTTTCTGTTTTACTCATCATAGTTTGGTTATTAGCAGCAACTGAATAATTACGATCATAATTGTCATTATCTTGTATATTTAATTTTGATGATGTCAAATATTTAGGCTTTGATAAAAGAGATTCAGATAATTTATTATTATAATGACGATCAATATATGATGATGTAACACCATAAGTGGTGGTTGTCGTAGCTGTTGTCATTGTTAACGATGACATTATACTATTAGTAGTGGTTATTGTTGTGACAAATGTACCTTTAGTTTCAGTTAACGTATCCAATGTAGAACTATCATCATTAGATATGACAACAAATGAATCTGTTAAGTTCATTGGCAAACAACTATTATATTTTCCTGGGACAAAACTGGTAGGTAAAGTTGTAGGTTTGACAATATTTCGACTTCCATAAATATCATTTGAATCTGTATGATGTTGATATGAACCAGCAGTATTCTATAAATTGACACAGAAAAGCATAACCTGAAGACAATACATAACAGTGACTACAAACACAAGTGTTTAAATAAAAAAAAATAGTGTGTTTGGTTGTGAATCCATTTAAAGAAGTTTTGTCTGAATTAATATTTGGATAATAACTAATGCAGAAATTCATGATTTACGGTATGATCTATGCATAATTCGGACTTATCAACTTTTTAATGACTTTCAGTATTCTCATCATTTGAAACTCAATTGTAGTGTTATCAGTTAGATCAATGTCACTTTCACTAACGCGCACTGTATGAGCTCAAATGTCAGTGAGGTGGATATTAGAATACACCATAACAAGAACATCAGAAAGCACAATTCCATATGAAGTAGCCGCTGTTAATGTTGTCTAGGACGGAAATGAATGCTTCCAGTTTACAGAAAGCAAAACTATCCAAAATATTCCGCAGATAGAAATTTTTGACGGTGAATTTATACGTCACTCGTTTATATAGTTGTATACTCTTTTGTGCTACATACGATCACACCAATTGCGTGGTTATGGTATTATATATAATAACTAATACGGAATCCCTATTCATGTTTTTCCTGTACACCTTTATTTGGTTGTTTTCATAAAAACGATTACGTATTCACGTTTTTACTTGTCCTACCATACTTCGGTATTAAGAAACGAGTGAGCTAGTCAAATATGAGCAGTTCTATAGAGAACTCAAAAACGTCAGCTAGCAAACAGCATTTCAATAAGTGGTAGAGTCTAAGAAAAACTTGATACTCAAGTAGAACAACTAGATAAAACTCAGAATATAAGCAAACGAAAGCATGTATGACCTCCGAACATACAGAAAATAAGTTAACCGAAAGTAGTGGCAACCAGTCTTAAAAAAAAAATCATGCGAAAAATTCAAATAGAAAAAAGCATTTATACTTTCTACCATTAGTAAGACACTAACATCACTACTACAAAAAATTGAGTAACCATGTAACGGCAAAACCACCTGACTGTTTATATTCAAATAAATACCCGGCTGATAATAAATTAATTAACTAATTCATTGGTTCAAGCCGAGCTTCATTTAGTACAGTTTGGCAAACCAAGTAGTAGTGGTATCTTGGTGAATACTACTCACAACGTGTCTTGCAAGTAGTATGCGTTGGAGTGTCGTCCTGAAATTACTTCCTTTTATGTTCTGTACTTGAGTAACGCTAAACCACTGTACAAATGACAACACCGAACGTTAGACTCCCAACGTTCAAAAATAAGAAGACGGAAGACGTTGGAGAACACTTATTAACAGAATCAAAAATATACAATCAAACATGCGTATTTATACAATTATACATATAATCGATATTGTCGTTTAAATATTTGAATATTAAATCAAATAGTTCATCGATCGACTGCCCTTGAAATATTTAAGCATTTAACCGATAAGTTCATCAATCCACAATGTGCGTGGCTTTCTTCTCGATTGGCTATCCCAACACCTCCCCGGAATAAGATTTTTTTCTTGAGTCCACTTGTAGTCTTACGACTGGTTTGCGGCGGCGTTCCATTCTGGTTGTAGTTTTTCGAGTTAGTGTCTCCGACCTTCCCTTTTCTTCGGTATTCCGGGACAAATGTGTAGTTGTCGGTTCTGTGATCAACTCCAGCGGTAGATTTACGCGATTATCACCCGAGCGTACCATTCTTTCGTCCCTTCGCAGTTGGTTCGTGTCTAACACAGCTTCCGAAAGCTCCTGTTATTCGATACAAAACTCTTCCTAGTCTTTGTACGACGGTTCCCGGTTCCCATTGATTTTTCCCCAGATATGATTTTAGGAACACTTTATCGCCAACGTTGAAGCTGCGAATATTTTGATTTGGCCTGTATCTATTCGCTCTTTTAGGGGGCAACATCGCGTTAAAAATAGTCCGAATACTTCTTCCAAACATTGCTTCGGCTGGAGACTTCCCCTCTGGGACCATAGGGTTCGCAGTGCTTCTGTAAGTCGTTAAAAATCTAGTGATTACTTGGCAAGTTGGCCCCTCGTCTCCCCCTTTCACTAAAGCTCTTTTGAATGTGTCACCGAAGCGTTCTGCTTGTCCATTGGATTGGGGATGGTAAGGTGGGGACCGTAGATGCGTTATGCCGTTTGAATTGCAGCATCGCTTGAACGAGTCCGCAACAAATCGTGATCCATTATCAGTTACCAAGGTTTCTGGCACTCCGAAACAACTAAATGAGGTAGACAGCTTCTGAATAGTTTCCGAGGCTGTACAATACGGCATGCTGTATATTTCTGGCCATTTTGTATACGCATCTACAATAATTAGAAACATTTTACCTTGGATTGGGCCAGCGGAATCTGCATGAATTCTCATCCAAGGTCCAGTATGTTTCTGCCACTGTTGAGGCTCACATTTCGAAGGGTTTTCGCGGCTTTTGTACATTCGCCCAACGCTTCTGAAAATACGTGATGATGCTTTTTTGTAATGGCATTTCCCAGACTTGACTCTAAAGGGTTGTAGATTTTAACTCGGCTGCAGATATGGTTGATAGGATGGTCTGTTAATTTTAATGCATCAATCAGATCCAACCGCAATACATCGAGGTCTGGGTTCTTAGTTAAGTATACAGTCGAACTCGTTGTTGCCTCATTTTTTGAAACAGTGCACAATATTTCTCCAACAATATTTAACTTGCCAACAGATGCGCTGTGCGTTAGTTACTTCGTTTGGTGAACTGTAGGTCTTCCAATTTTCTCCCAAGTCTTTGGACTGATAAGGGTGATATCAGATGCTGTGTCAAGTTGAAGACGGATATGGTGTGAATTCATATCCAAAGTCACATACTTTCTTCTGTGGTGAATTCTTGTCTGGTTATGGGACACCAATACTCTGTTTATTGGCTTACCAGATCTGTATTTCTCGGAATCGACTTTCGCGGAGTAATGTCTGCGAGATTTTTTTTACATGGAGTTTCTCTGTGACCCTTTTTGTGACATTTAGTGCAAACATATTCTTTGTATGGACAGAACTTCTTGTAGTGCCAACCTCCACATGACCAGCATGGAGATGAGAGCTAGTTGTCTGTGCTTTTGTCAGCCGGAATCTTTCTTGTCACTAACGGCATGCACGTATGATGGACGGCCATTGTTTTCAACCATGGAGGTATCATGCTTCAAATTTACTAATCTCTGACACTCTGCAGTTATTTCTTGAAGCGAGATGTTTGGGCACTGCTCAATTTTACTTAAGATTCTGGTTCTTATATCAGCATCTTCGGGAGATTGTAAGCTCCACACAAACACAAGGCACTTAAACTGGTCTTCCGTCACTGATGATAGTTTAAAACGTTCGCATTCACGATTTACTAAGCCGGCGTGTTTTACCCAGTCATCTTCACCTGACTTAGTTATTTTGAAGCGAAGATTTGCGACAGCGTTTCAATTGTAGCATCAAAAGAGAAGTCTCTTGGGTTCTTTGGGAGGATGAAATTGCTATAACGTTCGTGTTCGATTGTGCCGAGCTTTCTCAAGAGGATTCTGACTTTGGCGGCGTCATCAAGTTTGTTGAGGTCGACCTTGAACAAATCCTCATACTTTTTGAACCAAGACACGAAAGTCACACCAGCAAGGCCATCAAAATGAAATTCATGAATGCAATTAACTATCGAGTCTGTATGTGGATTATATGAATCATCGGTAAAACCTCTGTGATTCAGATTCATTTGTTTCATTAACAACTCCAACATACGTTCCTGGAACTGTTCATATCGTTTTTCTTTGACGTTCCAGTAAAGATCCTATTTGTTCAAGGGTAATTGGCATTGTGGGTTGTACACTCCGTCACCATGTTCTGTACTTGAGTAACGCTAAACCACTGTACAAATGACAACACCGAACGTTAGACTCCCAACGTTCAAAAATAAGAAGACGGAAGACGTTGGAAAACACTTATTAACAGAATCAAAAATATACAATCAAACATGCGTATTTATACAATTATGCATATAATCGATATTGTCGTTTAAATGTTTGAATATTAAATCAAATAGTTCATCGATCGACTGCCCTTGAAATATTTAAGCGTTTAACCGATAAGTTCATCAATCCACAATGTGCGTGGCTTTCTTCTCGATTGGCTATCCCAACACTTCCGAAGAGGAGTTTTGGATCCGGATGTATGGCGCGACCAAAAAGCCTTGAAGACCAGAAGATATATGGAAAAAGAAAGCCAATAATTTGATTGTTTTGCAAGCGTACATTTGAACTGTCTTCTAACACTAAATGGCTTGTTTCACCTGGTGTTCGTTCATTACAGTATCAATAGAGGGTGAGTCGAAACCAAGTACAAGAATCCATATCAGGTAAATAAGTTAAAACTGAATCAGGAGAGATAAGGTAGTTATCAGAGGCCAAATACCTACATTAATAGAACTCACACATACGGATGCAAACAAAAGTTTGAACAGTAAATTTATTTTTAAAATAAAGAAAAACAATAACGAATGTATTAGAAATTAACAAAGAACTTACTTCACTATATGTTCTTAAACGATGATTAAACGAACAATCCGGTTCAATATATGTTAGTTTACTTTCTAATTTATTTATGCGTGCAAGCATACCATTCACTTTACCAGTCAATTGAGACAATGAATTCATTATATTTTGAATATCTTCAGGATTTATTGAATTAGACTGATTACTTTGATGACTAATTACTGAAGCGATATTATTATTACCTTTGAGTAATAGATGTTCATTATTAGTATTACTATCGTTATGATGAGGTGTGAATGATGATGAAGTATAATAATTTTCTTTTGAATGTTGCTTCAAATCATTTAAACAATCAAATGATCTTATTGGTACCATTGAAGTTGTATTATTCATCTTATTGATAGATGTAGTAGAAGTAGTTGTAGCGGTCAATTTATAATCGGATAATTTCATACTATTTTCATATAGTGCATTAGATGTATAAGGACGTGGTGGATAGTTATTGTCCAATAAATGATGAGAACAAGAGACAAATTTATACTGATCATAGTCGTTTTTGAATTTGTCAAATTGATCACGTGAATAATCCTCAGTATTCTAAATATTATGCAAAATAGGATTTAAGAAAATCAAACCATTTTTTTTATAGATTTAATAAAGATATCTGTCTTATCCAAAAAACAATAAACGTCACTTTTAACGTTTCATACCATTAAATTTACTTAGATGATAACATAGCTTCTAAAACAGTATACGTTCCCTTAATATTGTAGACGAACTTTGACAATGACTACGAAACGGAATTAACTTGAGCCACACAGACAGCTTCTAGCTATCAGCAATGTATTTTTAGGATGTCAATTTATATAGCTTAAAGTTCAAATTTTGAATATAACGCGTACAGTAAGCAAATAGCATAATGTTTCATATAGATTGTATAGAACATAAGTAAAGATTTCATTTCCAACTGAAATGTACTCAATTAGATGTATTTATGATAATGATTTGTAAACCAATCTAAAATACTCAATTTATCTAATTTAGAACAAGTCAGTTGAATATTCATATCGATATTGAACTGGGTCTCGAGCCCGGTGTTTGTTACGATAAATACGATAACTGTATTCATTAGTTATTTGAGTCATGAAAGTGAATTGTTTAAAAGGCAATGTTCACTAATAGTAACTATCCAAAATTCTAATCAACACATAAACTCAAGTAATATTAACGTGTCCAACTTAAAGAACAACAAATATTGTTTAACTTAGATAACAAAATTCCAATAAAAATAATAATTCAATCCTTTGTTACATAAAAGAAAAAAACCTACCAAAGTTTTTGTTTTGTTAAACTTTGCCTCTTTTTCATTTACATCACGATAGTTATCACTATGATGAGATTCTCGTGAATATTCTCCACCTAGAACAGTTGTTTTATGATCATTTAAAACAGGACAACAATCAATTTCATTGTTGATTAGAGGATTTTTTTCACTGTAATGTACACATTTACTATTATGACATGATACCGGTAATTTTTCAACGCTTCGCTCAGCCGATCGATGCCATGAAACACCGGGTAACATTGAAGGCATCTGAGTGTTTGAATTAGTTTTGATATGATCATTATGATTATGATTATTATGATTATTTCGATTTTCATGTAATCGCTGATGATGATCATTGAAATGTATTCTATTTTTATCTTGATTTTTAATTAAAGATCCTATATGGAAGGCAACAGTAGTAGCCATTTCAATTTTACGTTCAGCGAATCCGGTTGTAAAAAATTGTACCGTTGTAATAGGTGGTCGAAAAGAGAAGACATCTCGCAGAATCCGATAAAGGACTTCCATAAATCTTTTGTCTGTTGTCCCTGTATAGATGTAAACATATAACCAATATACGGTCAGTCAGGAAGAAAGAAAAATGAAGTTAAGCGATAATTACAGATAATAAATACTTGGTAAAGTTAATAATATCATTTGTCAAGTAAAGATTTATTTATTTGGTTACGACCTGCTAAATGTGTTTGTGAGGACCTAGCCATACTATTTATCTCCTTAAAACAAAATGGTGTTTTTGAGCTTCAGACTCGAGCCATAAAAACTGACAATGCTATGATTAGTGTAGTTTGCTTGCTACGACTCCGTTTCCAGTTTGGATTGAGAGCGATCCCACTGACATGAGTTTTTCTAAAAGAACATGAAATTAGGTCTAACATAGTATTTTTTTTTATTCAGTTCAATCCATACACGTAAAAATGGCTTTAGGCTATGCTTGTCCTAATATCTGCACATACACTAGAAACGTTTATTTTTCCTGATAAAAATGAAATTGATGTTACAAGGTACAAATACATAGTGAAAGTAATAATTATAATGATAGATGTATCAACTTATTGTATAACCATACCGAGCATTCCAAATCCGAGCTCAACCAGGTGACTGGTCACTTTTGAATTGAAGTCACAAAGTAAATGACGATAAAACTCGACAAATGCAGATGGCTGACCCGATATCATCCTAAAATGAACAAGAAAAAGAAATACGCATACATATAACCTCGGCAAAATACAATTCTACAAAATTTTAAGCGTCACTGTTTTCCAGGTTATAAAACATCAAACAAAATACTGTGAGATGGTGGAGATTTGTAGCTCAGGTGGATGATGTTGTTCAGAAGAACAATGAAAGCTCCACAACCAAAACACCCAGCTCAGAGAACCAAACACCACCGCCAAAAAATACTGTGAATTTGCAATTTCACATCGTGGATTGACTTCGGCTAGTAAACCATTGGACAATCATTTTGTTTTAGTACGAGACGCCGTAGTAATGAGAATCCAAAGATTGAACCAACTTCGGCAAGCACTTAACTTATAGACGAAATGGTATCCTTTGAATAGACATTGCAAACCGCAGATCAACTGGTACACATACTAAAAATAATAGAAACATTTAAGAGCAAGCACTTATAGTTCTTTCAGACACAGCATACAAAAATTATACTTTCCAGTTAGAGCAATAGATATGAGACTAATGGTCAATACTTTCAACTTAAAGTAATTAATGATACAATGTAAGTTTTTCAATTTACATAGCAAGAGGTGAATGTGGTCAATGTACTCAACTATCAATCAATAGGTGGCAGACTCTTTGCCTAAATCATATCAGTCAGGTAGGCTAGTATCGGTAGTACAATCAACGAAAAAGCAGGTTAGAAGAATATGTGCTCTGTTTTTGGAATGCAATGTAAACAAAGCAACTTTACGACATTTAATGCATTATTCATAATGTCCTATTCTGGATAAATATACAGTCAGGCGATATGGAATGTCACACATGAGTATATTGGTTCCAAGTACGATACTGTATAATATATAGTGTGGGGAATTCAACAAGAGAGAAATGATAAATAGGAGACAGCTTTCAAGCATTTACAATAATTGTAATCCATTTTTTATAAGAACTTACCCTTGAAAACTGACATCATGATTAAATCGAATTGAGCGTAATTGACGACGTAAATTTTCAAGAGATCCTTTTATATTAGGCATCGGTACAATTAATCAGTTTCTATTAATCGTGTTATGGCAGTTCGAATCTATATAAAAAAGAAATGAAGACATTCGACAATGCATAACCTTGAATATATGCAATAACACGATAACAGTAGTTGCAATGATTAATTTCTTGATATCATTAAGACGCTACTCGTTCATAACCCGATGGTATACTTAGTCATCATTCATCTGGTAATGAAATAACTATCAATTCAAATACAATTTCACCATACATTCATAACCAAGTATTGTTAGGAAACGGGTGCTAGGTAAGAATGGAAGGTCAATTGATGAAGTAATGAAACTTCATCAGTTGAGGTGGTTGGGACATGTTTTGCGTATGCCTAACAACCGACTGCCTCGTCAAGCTATGTTTTGGGGTGCACGAGAAGGTTGGAAGAACGCTTGGAGCGGCCAAACCAAACCATGACAGAAATCCATGAAGTCACTGACAAGTGGACTGAGTCATGAGTCAAACATAGCTTCTCATAAATACCAGTAACGTACGTCTGTAGTTTCATCTTCTGTTATTTTGCCACGTTATAATACACTTTTGATAAAAGTGGGATTCGTATCATTTATGTTTCAGTCTGAACCTTGTTCTTTAATTATTTTGATTATTATTACAGTTATGATTTCATATCTTTTATGAGCCATGTGTCGACTACCTGGTTGAGGTCCGCGAGATGATAGTAATCGATAGTTAGAGACCCTGAATGAAATGGCTCACAACCGTTTGCAATGGCACAGGGGCATTCATTCTTTGTGTTCACTCAAATCCTAGACTTGTTTAATTCTTCATCACTTTATTTTTATCTTTCTAAGTCTATTTCACTAGATTCTACTTCATGAATAATATCTTCTAATCCTAACCTCTCGGACTACTGTTAATACCTTTACTACTACTGGATTTGAATTGACAATTACATCCCTGTGCTATAGTGGTATGGCAACATGAACTGATGTACGTAAGTACGTACGTAGTTTTACGTTGCTATTGGTTGATTGAAATCACAAAACATATTTCAACAGTAACAACTACAGTAGTAAGAAATCATCTGGATGGACATAAAACAGTAGCCAGTAAACATTATAGCCTTTTATTGAGAATGTCTAAGCTACTATACGATAATCCATGAATGAATTGTTCAAATTTATTTGAGAATTGGACTGTTTGTCCAAATGAATAACAAAAGTTGGATTGTTGCTGGTAGTACAGTTCGGGGCTAGTCAACTGGATGCACTTCGATTCTAGTGACAGACAATCTCAAACTCTTACACTATATGAAACATATTTTTTATGCTCAACTTAATCATCATTACATTGTGTTGCAATCTCATCTACAATATGTTTTTTTGTAAAGAAAATAAATTGAATAGTCTTCAAAGTTAATTGACTATCCTAATTTACAACAACAGAGACAAAATAATTTTTTTTAAAGTGCCAATTCATACAGCAACATGTTATCACTAATATGGTGTTTCTGTTTAAGCACTAATTAAGAAATTAGTATGGTTCCAACTTTACGCATAATAATCCACATTGAACAAAAACAAAACAGATAAACATTAATAGGCAGGCATCAACTAGAATCACTATTCATTGGTCAGACAAACAAAAAGTAAAAAACAAAGGGAAAAGCAGCACTTTTCACACTTCGACTCCTCTTAAACTAGCTTTTATTTTTAAATCAATACATTCTTGTGTACATTAATAATAACGTGTACAGGTGTATTTTTGCAATAATAAATACGACGAGCATGAAATCATAGACAAGTTAAAAGAACGAAGAAAACAAAATCAATTTTTAAAAAAAATTTCAAAGAGCATCCTTACAAAAATAAATATAAAGTCTGTAAGAGAATCAAATCTATTGGCACAAAAAGGAGGAGATAAAAAAAACATGGATACGTAAATAAGTTACAAAGTAGGATTCATGATCAAATATCATTATTATTATTATAATAATTTACTGTTAACTGATCGGTAGCAATATAACCATCCCTAACTTCTTCTTCTCCATAAAATGGCAAAATTAACCACCTGCAGCATAAATTATATTCGGTGGTAAAGCTAACTGGATGGTTGAATCTTTCGGATCAGCAAAATATGTAAGTTTCGATGGATAAGGACGAACGGCATGTGACGGTGGTGGATATTGCACATTGTAAGTTGATGATAATGATGGTGATGGTGAACTTGAAGATTTCAATTTATCAACAGCCGATGATGTTACTGAACTTGATTCTTTTTCATCGTTCATTAATGCACTTTCAACTGGAATTCGAGCAACTTGATGTTTGATCAAAGCTGCTTCTAAATACTCGTCAAGTGTTCGCTCTGTACATTTCGCTGTTGCAAAAATATAAAGAAGCAAAAAACAATAACACAACTACAAACAATTGATTCTTATCACAAATACCAAACAATGCATGAGACGTAAAAGAGAACACATCATCTACAATCTTTCATTTAATATTACCTTTTGCAAACAAGCACCCAGATTATTGATACCATTACCAACCCGGCTATTTATTCAGGTCCGCCAAGAGGAACTATCCTTTCACAGTGTACATAGCCGAGGAGTGACAAACACTATCTAGTTGTCACAGCATTCGAGATGATCCTATACCCGATCAAAAGTGCATCACTACTGCAGGTTTTTAATAATAGTAGGAGTACATTGAAACAAGTGAAAAATAATACACAGAGTTATGCATAACGGATAAGTCTCCGCTACCGCAGTCAGTTTCGGACCAGATCATTATGGGTATCTCTCCGGTTACTACAAATATATCCAGGAATAAGTCCGAAAGGCATGCGATTTTCTATACGGTTGGAACAAATTAGAGACATGTTAGACCACGCATTTGTCGACCAAACCATGGTGGACGTGGTATTTCGGGAAACGTAAATTTAACAAACAACAACTTACTATTGATTATAGTAGTAGTAGTTAAGCCAAAGTGACGAAATTATTGATGTGACCAAAACAATTCGAATTTACCAACTCATCCATCTAATTTGTCTCATAGGCCTATGGGATGTAGTGTCTAGTAGTAAATTGAGATAATAAGTGCATAGCAATGCTACCTGAGCTCCCTAACCACTGATCATGATTATTGACTGGACATCGACTGGGTAGATTGTGCTTACAAACAAACATCGCTCAAGCTGATGTTCAATGACCTATAAATTGACATCATGTTTTAATGTAACCACCCCTGGTTATCTTCCAATCAATCCATTTCTACACACTTTGGAATAGGACGGATCCAGTGGACAATCCACCAATCAGTAGATTCCATTATCTTATGAAGAAACTATGGAAATTCTGACTACCCAGTTGTTTCATGGCAAAGAGTTAATAATGAACACTGTAAATGTTATCTACACATATCTAAACTACGCCCAGTTTGTTGCAGTTCATGCAAAGTACTATAAATATATATAGATATATTCTACCAATCATTGTGGAAAAATAAAACTTGCATTTGAGAAAGTTGAATCATATAAAAACTTACCTATGAAACGAATAAACGGACGTACGTCTCCATCATTTGCCGTTTTTAATAATTCATAATAAGTAACACGATCTTCTATTTTAATAATAGCTGGAGGTAAACCAGAACGCATTAAAATCAAATTCATAAGAAGTCGAGCAGTACGTCCATTTCCATCATAAAATGGATGAATAAACACTAATTTCCAATGTGTTAGCGCAGCTAATTCAATTGGATGCATATCGGTTATTTCGTCAGAACTTAACCAATTAATTAATTCCAACATTAGATCAAGTACACTAGATGGAGGTGGTGGGTGGTGATCAGCTACAAAAACCTTCAAATAAATATCAATAGAAAATGAAAAATGTAAATTATGAACAATAACAGAAATTATACTAATTTAATAAGACCATGTTAATGATAGGTTAATTGCTTCAACGACAACTTATTGATTTATTACTTGTTAAATTTAAACATGATTAACATTAAAAATCATTCAATTGATCTTGAATTTTTTAAATGTACTAATGCGAAATCTAAAGAATAGTCATACATAAACAACCTGAAATCTTGTGAATTTATGTGAATGTATTGATTGAAGTTTTTACAACAATTGGTATTAGGACAGGGTTAGTGATAATCTAGATATGCAAAATAGTGTGAAACAATGGGAAACAATTGTACAAAATACAATTAAAACTGATAATTTGTTTAATATCACAATAAAGACAAGACCTGAATTCATTTTTAACATTAAGACTGATGTGATGTTTATAAATATAGAATACGACTACCTAGTGGACAATAACCAGAACGTTTGCACTTTAAGATATGCTCCAGATTAATAGTTTTAAGACATTGAAAGGTGAAGAAATGCCTAGTTTTGAGTGTTTTTAGACCTTTAACTACTGTTGTGTTAGCGTGTTTGCGCATACACGGTGACTAAGCACTAAACAGCATAACCAAACTACTTCAGTCAACAAAGAGTTTATAATCACAGCACTTGATTCGCCACTTAGCACTCTCTAGTGGTTAGACGTTTGCGTGCAACACCAAAGGTCCTGAGTACGAATCCTGAGAGTTGCGTGAGTCGTGGATGCACAACGCTGATGAGTCAGTTCAATACCAGGACGAAACGGCCGTCCAGTGCTTTCAGGTTTCTAATGGTGGTCTAACATTGATCGATTTATGATTTCAAAAATAAACTCTACGCCGTAGACGAGTATCCCATAGGTATCTTCTGTCTTTAAATATCACGTTTCGAAGCCGTAAACTTAGAAGGTAATGCCATGAACTCATGGACAAAAAATACATGCACGGCATACTAAAAATCTATCAAAAATAAATCGATGAACTACCTGAGAACGTCGTAACCTTCCAGCTTCCCTCAAATCTACAAACGACAGGAGTCTACGGTGTAATTCCAACACATTTTCCAGTGTTATAGCCGTCAAATTTCCATGTAGAAGAGTGTTGTTAATATATCTGAGAGCTGAATCCATACCAAGGACCTAAAATATGACAGGTGAATTGGACACTATTTATTACACTAATGAACAGTGACTTGCTCTTTTTATAAAATGAATCATAGAAATAGTGTCTTTTTATAATGTACGTAGTTTTGAATTGTTAAAACAGGATTTCTAGGTTATCGAGTAGTGTACGACATGGTCTTTCAATAGTTTATTCAACGAGTAAAGAGACAATAAACAAGACAGTGCCTATGAATTGTGATATTCTCAGTCAGTCAGTTACAGCGTAGAACTTTGTACATGAGTACATAAGTTCAGATTGCCATACCGCCTTAACTCAGAGACGCCATTGTCAGTTAACATCCCATAGTGATAGAGATAGTAGAAGAATTACCGCTAATGGAGATCAGGATTTAAAGATAATATTGAAGAAGGATAATTCAGTGAAATAAGTTCAGAAATACAAAGGTAGAGGTGTTGACGAATCCAGATTAAGATTTGAGAGAACCGAAAGAGTGGATGCACCTGAGCCATTGCAAACAATTTTGAGCCATGTCACTCAAGGTCTCTAACCATCGATTACTGGCATCTCACGGACCCCAACCAGGTAGTCGACAACTACCAACATGACTCAGTCCACTTGTCAGTGACTTTATGGATTTGTGTCATGTTTTAGTTTGGCCGCCACTAGCTTTCTACCGACCTACTCTTACACCACAAAACATAGCTCGTCGAGGCAGTCGGTGGTTGGGGATTCGTAACACATGTTCCAACCACCTCAACTGATGAAGTTTAAATACTTCATCAGTTGATCTGCCATCCTAACCTATTACTCGTTTCCTAGCGACAGCATTGCTGACCCGATTGTTCCAGGATATACGATCAATGTTTCAAAGATATCTATAATCGAATACTAATAACCTGCGGATGTCCTCTACTCTAACGGCCATGTTTCGCATCCATATAGTAAGATAGAGCGAACTGCTGCGCAGTGCACTCATTCTTTGCTTAGCAAACGGATATATCGCCTGCGCCATAGGTGACGCAAGTTGGCAACGGCCCTATCTTTCCGGGTCCTTACTGTCCTGTTTAGTCGGACGGCGCACAAACGACTATCTACTGGGATCCAGTCTAGGAGAGCTAATTCTACCCTAGGACTCAATGCTGTACCTACACCAGTGAGGCGACGGGAAGCAGCATCACGGCTATCGGATACACGAAGGGTAAATCGAGTTGCTTCTTTATCTTGAAATGGTGAGGTCAAGAGAATGACGCTATTTGGATCCCGCATGTGCGTTTCCGAGACGTAGCATACATCGATGGCGCGAGATTCTAATGTCCTAGCTAATGAAGCCTGTTGCCCTATTTGACACAATGTCCGTACATTAAATGCTCCAACATGTAGTCTAGAATGGGGTTTCAGGAGACCAGGAATAATGTTGCATGTAGTCGAATCGTTTGCAGCAGAGGTGCGCGGATATAAAGGAATGTGAGAAAAGTTAGTCGTGAAGACAAGGGTGATGTTAAGGGGTGTAGGAAGGATTTGATTTCGACCAATTTACGGGTTTGAGGGCGGTTGTCACTTTCCCAGCTGCCCGCACCGTGGAAGGCTGTTTCTTGAGGAACCTGAAAATGAACGTAGATCAGTGTTGATCTAAGACACCTGAGAGCGTGACCTCAGGGTCCAAAGTCAACTGCTTGAGGCCGGTCACGCACGGCCTTCTTATCAAAGGTTTTTTGAGTATTAGCTCCGCTTTTAGTGGGCGGCACCCTTACCGCTGGAAACAGAAATCCGTGAGGTAGGGTGAGGCGTGACATTTTTAGGGTCGACATTTTTAACCCTTCCTTCCTTGTGAGAAGGTAGCATCGCTGCAGATGCTGATTGTCCGAGGGAAACACCTTACTGATGTTACACCCCTCTGCGATCAGCAGTACGACTTCGCACTTAGATCTTGTGTAGCTGCTTTTAGTCTCATCGTTCTCCAATCGACCTGCCTGGCACGGTAGAGCATTCAGGAACATATGTTCCAGCCAATATAGCTCAGTTGGGTCATCACGATAGACAAGCCCGACCACCACGTCAAGGTAGCATCTACGGTCGGGATCTGTTTGATGAGTTGCGACGCCACAAGATCCACCTACGTGTCTTTCCTTTTCGCTTAATCTACCTACCTGAGCATTTAAGTCACCAGCCGCTACTACTAGATCAGAAAGCTTAACTCTTCGAAAGGTTAGAAAGCTTTCCATAAATCCATCTTTTACCGCATCCAAGCTGCAACCAGTAGGAGTGTAGACATAGATAACGAAGAGGCAACAGCAAGTATCCTTATTTTTCCGAGTCCTTACAGTCCCGTTTAGTCGGACAACTCACAAAAGACTATATATGGGGACCCAGTCTAAGAAAGCTAGTTCTGCTTTAGAACTCAATGCTTTAACTAAACTAGCAAAGCTTCGGGAAGCAGGAGTATGGCTTCCAGATACACGAAGTGTAAATCGAGACAGTTCTTTATCTTTACAAGGATAGATCAAATGGATGATTCTTGTCGGGTCATACATGCTCGTTTCGGAGACGCACCAGACATCTATGGCACGAGATTCTAGAGCCCTTGTTAGGAGAGCCTTTTGTCTTATTTGGCACAAAGTCCGGACAATAAATGCTCCAATGTGTATCTTAGAGTGTGGTTTCAGGAGACCAGGAATAATGTTGCATGTACTTGAATCGTTTGTATCAACGGCGCGAGGTGATAAAAGAATATGAGAAGGGATAGTCGAGGAGGTGAGAGTTACAAAGAGGCGTAGGACGGATTTGATTATGACTAAATTGAGCTCGTGTGTTGTTAAGGATATGAGAGTGGATGTCACTACCCGGTTGCCGACACCGTGTGGGTATTTCTTGAGGAATCTGATAAGGAAATTGGGTTAGCATTGGTCTTAGAGTCCTAGGAGAGTGACGAGAGAGTCTATGGGACAACTGCTTAAGGCCCGTCATGCACGGCGTTTAAATGGGAAGTTTTTAAAATGTTAGCTCTGCTCTTCAAAAGGCCCTACCGCCGAGGATGCAAACTCCTGGGTAAGGTGAGACGTGACATTTCTATGGTCGACCTTTTATAACTTTTTCATATTGAGAAGGCAGTATCGTTGCAAATGATGGTCATCCGGGGGAAACATCTAATGCCGTTACACCACTCTACAGTAAACGGCACGACTTCGCCCTTCGACCTTAGGTTGTTGCATTTAGTCTTACCGTTCATCGATCAGCCTCCCTGGAATTATAGCACTTAAAGTTGTGATATGTGAAGAATTCTGATATGTGGTGGAGAAAATCCGCAGCTTTGGCGAATGTCTTTGGTAGTTTTGGGTTCTTCCAGCCAGATGTTTTAATTGCGGAGTTTTCGTTACCTAAAATGTTAATGATGGCCATATAATTAAACCATATAGCTGGAAGAACTCAACACCACCAACAAGTTCTGCATTATTTGAATAAAAATAAAAGTTGAACACGAAACTTTGCAGCATTAAAATGGTGACTAGTAGGATAAACACAAACAATACAACTCATGTGTCAGGCACAGCTTTAAGTACTTAGTTATGTTACACTATGAATGGGTGAGAGAAAGTATCCAGCGTTTAAATCAAATTAGGATGCGGGGAGTTCAAAACCTGGGGCCAGTCGATCAGAGAAAAAATAGTTTGACCACTAATCAAATAAAAAACTAAACATGGCTTAGTCATATGTATGACTCAGATGAATTGTACAAATATGCATAAAATTTTTGTTAATTATATAAAAATACTATACTTCATTTTGCTCCAAAAGGCTTTTTCCACCAACAGCCAATCGTGTTTCCAAAATTGATCGAGTTTGAGCTAATGTGAGTGTATTGCCTTCAATAGCATTTGAATGATAGACATGCTTGAAATAGTGTTCGACTTTAGCACGACGCAAACCCGGATCACCTTCCGGAATATGGTAAAACTGACGAACTTTAAAGTCGATTGCATTGAGACTATACAAAAGAAAGAAGAAAGCTAAACAATCAAAGCATTGATCGTTAAAGGTTCTATGAAAGAACAATAAGACGGAGCTGATCTGAAAAATGTGATGTATTTGTGCTAGACATTTCAAACAATCTGGTCACATACATACTTGTCAAAGCATTTTAGATGAAAATATTTAAAGGTGATAATTGTAAACAATGGGATGAGAAAACTGACAATGTGGAAAGAATAGGAAATTGTCACATCACCCTAGGCCACAAAATGGCTTAAGGATTACCAGGGTAAACTGTTGAGAGAGTTTTCCAGATACAACATGAGATAGAAAACAAACCTGGCAATTAGTATAATAATTGATGGTGCCTTTCGTTTTCTCAATTTTCAAAACATTTTCGTTGCACTGATTAACTCACTGTGATTTTACGTTCAATAACAGTAAATCCGTTTGATGAAATTCTGGAGTAGCCATTAGTAAGCGACATAAATAAAGTTGAGTATAATTTGTTTCTTCTCGGGTCTCTATCAAAAATCATCCTCAAAACCTTGGATTTCTCATTCTAGTCCACGAATAGGGAAGAAGAGGATAGAAATAGTCTACTTTATCGTATTTAAGGAGAGATTGTGAAAAATCAAACTGGTGCACAAGCGTATCAGAAACAGCATGAAATCTACTTCAATATTGGTTTACATAAACCTGCTGGTTTATAATTACCATCTGAAGCTTAAAATTTGAATTAAATATATTTAAGGTCACGGAAAGCAACATTTATGCAATGAAGCTGAAAATAATTATATTAACTATATGAGTACAAAAGTAAAACTATTTTCCAGGGTTATAAGTAATTATTATTAACACTGAAGATTCCTACCGACAATCAATCAATGGCTACGTAGAACTTAGTACGTACGTACATCAGTTTGTTGCCATACCACATTAGCACAGGGATGTAATTGTCAATTCAAATCCAATAGTAGTAAATGTATTAACAGTAGTCCGAGAGGCTAGAATTAGAAGATATTATTCATGAAGTAGAATCTAGTGAAATAAACTCAAAAAGAAAAAGATGAAGTGATGAGGAATTAAAAAGTTTGGGATTTGAGAGAACACAAAGAATGAATACACCTGCGCCATTGCAAAATATTATTCAAGAAGTATAATTTAGTGAGATAACTTTAAAAAGAGAAAGATAGAGGTGATGAGGAATTTGGAAGATTAGAATTTGAGAGAACACAAAGAGTGGATGCACCTGAGCCATTGCAAACGATTTTGAGCCATGTCATTCAAGGTCTCTAACCATCGATTACTGGCATCTCACGGACCCCAACCAGGTAGTCGACAACTACCAACATGACTCAGTCCACTTGTCAGTGACTTTATGGATTTGTGTCACGTTTTGGTTTGGCCGCAACTAGCTTTCTACCGACCTACTCCTACACCACAAAACATAGCTCGTCGAGGCAGTCGGTGGTTAGGCATACGTAACACATGTTCCAATTACCTCAACTAACGAAGTTTCATTACTTCGTCTATTGATCTGCTATTCTTACCTAGAACCCATTTCCTAATAACAGAGTTGCTCACTCGGGTGTCCCACAATATACGAGCAATGCTTCGAAGACACCTACGATCGAAAACCAATAACCGACGAATATCTTCTACTCTGACTGGCCATGTTTCACAGCCATATATTAGGACGGAGCGAACTACTGCGCATTACACTCGTCCTTTAGTCAGCAAACAGATATCTTGCCTGCGCCAAAATTGACGCAGGTTGGCAAAAGCTAATCGAGCCTTCTGTATCCGTGCTGAGATTTCATCAGTCACCAGGCCATCAGCACTGATGAGACTTCTCAGACAAGTGAAGCGGTTTACACGCTCGACTACTTTACTCCCTATCACTATTTCAGGTGCCGATGAAACCCAGTCTTGAAGCAACATTTTGCATTGCGATGGGGAAAACCGCATCTCGACCAGTGGTGTTCGAGTAGAGGGCTTGTATAAGGTTAATGTACTTCTTTCGTACACCTTTTAATGACAGACACTGCCACGATCCACAGAGTCAAATGCCGCCTTGAGGTCTAGGAAGACAACTATTGTAGGACGCCTAAATGTGTGCTAAAACTGGACCACCATCCTTAAATATCTCAGGGGTCAGTCTATCAGGACCTGCAGCTCGTCCTCGCTTCAGACTTCCTAACGCTTTCTCAACTTCATAAAGACTAGGGGGACTTACGTCGATTTGCCATTCAGAATGACTGCAGATCGTAGGTAACGGAAGAGTGGCTCGAGGCCAGTTGAACTGATCCCTAAAGTGTTCTGCCCACCGGTCCAGTCTCCTGGATTGAGAATGGACAATAAGACCATCCTTTTCCGCAATAGTATCACTCACATTCGGGTTCCTAATACCCGTTTCCTTGATAAGTCGGTACAACTGTCTGTTGTTGCCTATCTCCGCCGCCTTGTCCATCGCTTTTGCTTTCGCCACCCACCACTGTTCACGGTCGTTACGTAGGCTTTTTATCAGCCTGCGCTTAAGCTGACTTCGCTCTTCATCATGTTCAGAGCCAAGTGGGATGAGTTTTCGAGCCTCCATCAATTCGGTGGATGCTACTGAGATCCATGGCTTCATTCTAGCCTTATGGTTTACCTTACTAGCAAATATCACTGCTGTTTCCACAGCCATTTGATATCATTCCAACCTGCATCCGGACAGGAATCACTTACATGGTTGCCTAACTCTCTTTCTAGTTGTTCCTGAAATATTTTCTTAGCTTGATTATCATTAAGTAAAGCCCTAAGAGGTTTTCTTACGGTATCTTTCTTACATCCGGTAAGTTGCAAACAAATGCGTGCTCGCACTAGGGCATGATCTGAATCTAGATATGTGCGAGCGACAGTCATCTATCAAACCTCTCCATCGGTGTCTGATGACGATGTGATCTAGTTGCGTCCAACGTTGAGACGACCTTGGGGTCGCCAGGTCAAAAGATGTTTCTCCTTATGCCTAAAATTAGTGTTTGCTAGGAATAGGCGGTTATCTGAGCATAGCTGCAACAGACGGTCGCCATTATCTGTTCTCTGAGCCGCGACACCATAAGATCCACCTAGGTGTCTTTTATTTTCACTTAGTCTACCTACTTGAGCATTAAAGTCACCAGCCATTATTGTTACATCAGAGCGCCTAGCTTTTCGCAGGAGGTCTGAAAGCTCTCCGTAAAACTCATCTTTCACCTCGTCTGAACTGCAGTCAGTGGAAGAGTAAGCAGATATGACGAAGAGGCAACGGTGTGTCTCTATCTTTACGAGTCCTTACTGTCCTGTTTAGTCGGACAGCAATACTTGATAATATTTGACAATCAGGGAAATATTGTTTAGATAAATATAAATGAATAAGAATGTTCAGTGGATTATATTCAGGAGTCACAATTACCAGCAGGATATTAGAGATACTAGTAACATTAAAATGAACAGTAAAGATGAGTTGACAAGACAGGAGTTCGAAAGTAGTGTTTCAGATCCAGAAAACACAACAAATGCTAGGTCTCTACCATCGATTCTGAAGCGGATAGATTGGGAGAAAACTAGGGACGGACAAGCAGAGACATGTTATCAGTTTGTTAAGTTATTAATTTCTGTGCTGAGCCATGTTAGTAGGTGCAGAATACGAGGTTGAGGTTCCTACGACAACGGCGATTAGTGGTTAAAGACGTTACGTGACACAGTTAGGAATCGGTACCAGTGAGGCAGATTGGTTCAACACTTATTGATACTAAGTAATAAGCCTCAAAATTTTCCCGTAGTTTTGATTCCTTAAATTCATTTCTTCCTTTTGAACTGTATTCTAAAGACTCTGGTCTTTCACGAGTAATGACACCACAGTTACTTCGACCCTTGGTATTCCTTTTGATAATTCCATATCACTGTCCTAACGTTATATACCAACTTAGATTGGCGCACGTTTTTGCTGGACGCCTTGTCGATAACGATTGATCAAGTCTATAAATCTACCCTTCAAAACTACGTGCTCAATAATCAAGTAGATGAAACGTTAACTAATTTATAATCTACCTTAGACTGGTCAACTTGATTATTAGGATAAAATACTACCGCTAACTTTTTATTACAATGAGGATAAGAACGATGCACTGATTTGATTTCAGTGGTCTTCTCTGTACAAACCAGCTTGAGTTTGTACATTTGATGAGTTGAGTCATTATTACCAATCTATCCCCATAGTTTTCAACTTAGTGCCGCTAGATGATCTGCCTGTGCCTATTGGTTTTTAGTACACTGAATCATGATTCCTGGGTTAAGAGTTCAGTTTTCGTAGTGCAGATCATTTTAAAAATTTGTGGCAGAAAACCGCTTAGATCATAGTTATCAGAGTTGAGGAATATGAGGTTTAGAATATTGCCCTGCTTTACGGAGTATGGAATTTTCCTGACAGAGTATTATGTTCGACGGTGTGTTTAACATAAGGAATAAATGTCTTTTCCTTCTTAAATTGTTTTGTGTATAATGATCTGTAACAAGAAAGCATAAGGATTTTTTTCGAGCTGCTACCTTAGTTTAGTAAAAAAAATCAGATGATGACAGAGCATTGTGAACTATGGGGTTGCATCTGTTTCCCTATCGTTTTTAATGTTATGTCAAGAAATTTGTTAGGTCAAAACGAGGGTAATGACTTAGCATTATTCGTGCAAGTTTACATACTAACCAAGAACGTTGCAGTTTTCAAAGCGGAGAACCTGTTCTCTTGTTTTAACAGCTGGTTTTTATTTCTTTATCATTACTTGAAAACCATATACAGATGTTACATAAAAGCTGGACAAAAAAGCCGTCGAAAAGCGTTAAACGTTAAAATAGCTTAACCAAGTAATGATGCTACACTAAAACGTGGTTGAAGCGAAATATTGTAATCACCTCAACATGAATCCTACAAATCTACTTAGAAAACTGAAATTTCGAAGGACATACAACTTCATGGCTTTATGTTGTTTGAAGGATCAAAGTTTAAATGTGGTCATATGAGCAGATTAAATGGATTTTATGCCATTGAAATTTCCTTAATGCTCTGTACATAAACTGGGTCTTCAGTCCAAGGATTGACTACTGAATTCAACTAATAATCAGATCATCAGAAAATTTTTGTTGAAGGTAGAAATCAAACGTACTTACATTCGCTGGTCTACTTCCTCCACAATCGGCATCAGACGTTCTCTGTGTAAACAAGCTTTAGAAACACTGGGATCAACAATTAGTGCCTTTGTGTAGAAATGTTCAGCAGTCAAGATTAGACCATCCGCATCATTGTCTTTGACTTGGCCATAGACAGGGGTCAACGATTTCGTCAACGGAATAGCGGCACGCGAAGTGGATTTTTCATAGTAATAAGAACTTTCTATCGATTCACCCAGCGCAATCAAAACATCCACATTGTCCGGATCTAGTCTGAATGCATGTTCCAACAGTTTTCTTGATTTTGTAAAATGACCAGTAAGTAACCTGTTGTACTAAAGCTGGACGCAGAGATTGTAGGGCTTCTGCCTTTTCACCTGAAACTGTGTGAATCAATGGATAATATCTCACTTTCTGAGGGGACAACACGACTACGCATTAGAAGAGGTAAATTAGATTCTGATCTAGCCTTTTTGTGGGTATAAATGATATCTCTAACCAAACGCCTGTACATATGCTCCACAGTCGAATCGTCATACTTAGGATCACTTGTGAAGAAAAAACTATTCCCAGCTCTTCGAATTTCATCAAATCGAAAGATTAAGTGGTAGATGGTTGATGACTCGAGCAGCTCGAGGACGTTCAGTTTTTTGTGAAGGGCCAGAACAACTCCTAATAGTGATTTCCAAAACTCGAATGGAGTTATAGCCAAAAACAGAATGTTAATACTGATAAGAAACACTATTCTCTTCCCACATCTCAATTGCATGTGTTGGGTCACAGCATTCAAAGATGCCGGTGAAAAACCAGAACAAGTAGACTCAAGCTATGGCAACAACCTCCAATATCCAATGACCTTTGGTTCACACTGAGATCCGTATATCAAAGAAAGGATTAGGCAACTGCTTTAGTCCGCCTCTTTTAGTGCTTTATTTGAATCTTTTACTGTTTGGATTAGTCGTTTGAAGGTGAGTAGACCATTTTTTTCCTGTTGTACATCAAACTTCAAATTTTGTTCAACAGAATTAGCTAACAGTTTGTTCTCTTGGATTAGCATCTGGATGACAGGATAAAGTTATGTATATTGAAATTATCTGATTGTTGCTTTATTTCTTTTCAAACTAAAGGGGAGGATAAGTCAGTCATAGGTCGAGAATGAGATCATGGGGCTACTATTATGATGATCGCCTCCAACATCAATTGAAATATTTTAAAGAATCTGGTAATGATTTCCATGGTAAAGCAGTACAATCTGGCCACAAGCCACGTGTTATATAAAGGATATATGTGACAAATTTAGGACCCGTAGGAAAGCTTTTAGTCAAATTTACTGATTACTGATCAACACTCATTAAATGAATGATTGAAGTGATGGAAAATTTTCGCTAGTGGACTGAGGTTATCGTGATAAATTATATCCTGCTTGGGATGGTCGTTCCAGCGCTCCACCTAACGACCATTAAGGATGATGCAAGCTGGATACTAGAGACTAAAAATTTAGAATTTGTTGCCTGAAACTTCTGTCAACTGGAAACCGTTTAACCGTCTAGATATTCGTTTCCTAACGCAAGTTTCGGAGGTTGCCAGTCGTCAACAGAACAGAGATCTCATTAGCAAATGGCCTGAAATATGTGGGACCTATACTTTAATTGCGGATTTCGTTGTACCACTTCTTCATATATTATTCGCAGAAATGTATTACGTTAAGTAGTTGTTCTTTTGTTTAAAAACCACATAGGCACTAAGGCTGGTTATCGGAAGAGAATAGAGGATTAACTGAACTTATATTATACGCCCGACTATCTTAAATTATGCCTATTTTATTCAATAGTCATAGATGTAAATGGCGATGTATACTTAACCAAGGGAATGAGTTGAATTCACTTTGGGAGTTCTGAAAACTTTTCTCCGCCAATTCTGATGATAGAAATTCAATGATACAGAAAGTTTCCTTAACGCATATGATTTTGAGTGTATACACAGAACTACGTTTATGGCGCTCAGTAGACAAAGTAATCACTAAGTTCTTTCTAGCTAATTTACTGTATAATTATCTTTCATCTCTTGTTCCAAAAGGTAAGTGTTTGCTAGGGCATGGTTAACGCCAAACAATATAACCTGCGGACTGACAAAGGATTATTAAACTAAAGTGTGTTACTTCTCAACGAGTCTGTGTTAATTGTATAATGCTTCTTAACTAATATGAGGTTGATCGTTTGACGGAAGAATTTACGCTAGGCTGAAATTTCTCTCCAAAATTTAGGTGCACTGTACTTAAATTTTCTCGTGAATGAGGACAAATAACATTTATTTTCACAAGAAATCTTCACATTATTGACGTAGCTTTTCAGGCGAAATCCACACCTGATTGTGCCCAAAGTTTTTACTGAAATCGCTTCTATTGCTCAATTCTTATCCTGATATAAACACTATCTATTAGTTAGCCCGTAATATATTTACGACTGACTGCCGCACACTCGATGTACTATAGCACTACCAATACTTGATCAGTCTAACGGAAAAACAGTCATCAAATAATGAGGGTTGATAAGTTTCTTAACTCAAATAAAGAAGGTTTTCACGAAATACTGTCAGTGTTTAACATTATACGTAATTGTTACCACAACATAAATATTGGCATATTATAATCTAAGATATTTATCTATTTCGACTAACAATGTTCATACAAACCAGGTTATTTGGCGTAACAGTTTATATTTAAGGCAGAGATAAGGGTAAATTTTTGATATTCTTCATTTTCGTAGTATTCTGAAGCAAAATAGAACAATTTAGAACAGTGAACCAATAAAGCCAGGAAGTTATTAGGGCAATAAACTGTCTCTGGGTTATAATCCAATAATCCAACGAGCCTGTCAATGAATTTCAAGCAGTCTATCGAACCTCGCCAGGGCTAAGTAATCGATTTGTAACAGTCAATTTTATGTCATGTACAAGCGCACACGACAGTGGTTCTGTTGGCTGCCGATACTTATGTATGCTGTTGCCCAATATCTATGCTAGCAAGTCACCTGGTTACGACGGTGGTATATTCCAGACTGGGCATTAACCGCATGGCGTGACTCGACGTTTGCTAGGAGGCCACGTCAATCCCATCTAACTATAGCAAGCCAACAAACATCGACATAAATCACGAACTTGGTTGATCTGAACTAGTAAGCAGTACTTTGAATCACTTATAATGATTATTATCTCGGATGTTGCTTTGGCCAAGGTTACGTATTTGTCAGTATCGCGTACATTTTTCAATAAGCGCATATTTCAGATGTTTTATGTTAACATTGATTCGTGTCTTGAATAACTCACTGATTTCTCATCCGGTCTAGATTCTCTTGCATTTGCATCGTTTCACATAATTAGTTGCGTCGAATATTCACTGTACAAATGAGAAAGTAACACATGTTGACCTTCTACTACGTTTATGAGGCCTGGTTACATTTTGTGGGTAGTTTCACATACTGGAGTCATATATTTTATTAGTCCAATTAAAATATAGTTAGGACCATGTATATTTATGCCTTGTGAGGCGACATATTATGGAAAAGCGTATTTCTTCTAGATAAGCCATCTCAGTATAAGTTTCAAATAGATGCTTCTTTCGATCTTTGTATGCAATAATTTAAATGCTGAAAGTTCCGCACCAGCCTTTAGCAAAATGGCTGCATTAGGCGCACCCTGTTAAATCCACAGTGGATTCTGATTTCGGGAAAACAGTTCTAGAAGTTTAGATATGCGCCTTTCCCAGTTATCCCAAGAAGAAAGCAATTTATCTGAGTAAGAAACGGTTCTATTAATAATGAAATTTCAAAATCACCACCTAAACAATATTACACCGTTCTTTAACACAATTTAACAATATGTGTTTCCAATTCTGGAAGAATGCTTCCATATAAGTCCAAAATTGCATCCTTCAAGTCCTGATTCAAGGTTTACCGCCCAGGGTGTCGAATCCGATATGGCTGTAGCCATAATTAAGTATCAATTTAAACAGCATAGTACAGTTCAGTAGAAAACATAGAAACTCCGATAAAGGTACAAAAAATGGAAACTATAACAAAATACAAACATTAACATCACAAAATGGGATTAAAGAGAGTACCGAAATGTAGCACAGAGAGAGTCAGTAAGAACATATTACAAATATATACATGGAGGGATTTTTCTCAAAACAAAGCCTTCAAAATGGATTCTACACTAATGTCTTGAGTTCCCGTAGCTGTTCTAATGTCTTCGCAGCAATTAAGATGTCATCGAGATATGCCGCAACCCCTGAGATATCTGATAGGATAGTATCTATTAGTTGCTGGAAGATAGATGGGGCGGTCTTAACTCCGAAAGGCTGACGGTTGTGCTGAAACAAACCACGATGGGTACTGATAGTAATCAGCTCTTCTAATGCTTCATCTACTTCCACTTGCAAACAAGCATCAGCTAGATCGAGCTTTGCCAAGAACTTTCCCCCATTCATCACAGTGAACAGATCTGCTGGGACTGGCAGAGGATAATGATGCTGTTCCAGAGCTGTATTGAGACCTGTAGAGAAGTCAGCACATATACGTATCGTGCCGTTTTCCTTCTCGATAGCGACCATAGGTACTGCCCAAGTAGCGCAATAAATGAGAGTAATAACTCCTTATTGTTGAAGGCGATCCAATACTTCGTCTACTGTTGCTAATGTTGCATAAGTTAGGGGTCTCTTTGGACGGAAAACAGTCTTAGCCTCAGGTTTCAAACGTAGTGTTGCTTTTATAGCAGTACACCGACCTAATCTAGGTTGGAAAACGGTTGAAAACTCCATCGTCAGCTTCCTCGTATATGCTTCAGGGTCATGTGGTTGTGATACCGGGAGGCATATGGTATCTAACTGGACATAAGCCAATTTTAGCTGGTTGAACCTATCTAAACCAAGTAAATTTGGATCAGCTGGAGTTATATAATATACACCAGTAAATGACGAGTCTTGGAAGGCAACTTTACATTCCAATTACCATAACAGACGACGGCTCTTTTGATTGATGAGGCAACCAATCAGTAACCCTGAGGTCGCACTTATACGCTTGCTAATTCTGAGGCTCATGTTTCCGAAACTATGCTGAGGTAGCTATTATGCAGCATGCTTACTCAAGCACTTACAGTATGATTTAGAGGTTGGTGTTCAATAAAAAACAGTTGGATAGTGAAACATTTTTCAATTATCAATGTTTTTTTACATACTTCACTCTTTTTAATGAAATGAAAGAAAAGAAAGAATGAAAAGAATAGCTTAACAGGTGAGTAGAGCACTTTGAAGAGCTTTCTAATAGACAAACGATACTTGACTATAAGGACATCAAAGAAGCACTAACGGTCCTATGAATCAGCGTTTCAACGCGAAACGTCAAGAGTGGCAAAGCAACAGGATCAAACAGTTTATCGGCTGAT